ATGGTTCACAGCCTTAGATTGAGATCACAACACTCTTTCCTAAGCTGCGAGTCCTATTAATGTTCTGAAAGCTTCCAGTTTGATGTTCGGTAAAGCCTTCGTAAGACCGTCGGCGGGTTGCTCCTTCCTGCTAACGTACGCAAGGTCGATGACTCCACCTTGACCCACGATCCAAAGTGTCCTTCAAAAACAGGTGCTTGATGTCCAAATGTTTGGTCTGAGGGTTATATTCTTGATTCCACACCTTTTTGGAGGCGAACCAGCCCAAGGCTGAAAGCCTCCCTAATAAAGATAAATAATAATAATTGATTCCACGCCACGCATATAGCGGATTGATTGTCACATCGAATTGAAATGACTTGCTGCTCGAAAATTTGCGATTGAAGAAACTGCCACCAGAGAGCCACCTGCACGGTCCTTGAAAGCGACAAATATTCGGCTTCACACGATAAGAGTGCATTTGTCGGCTGTCGTTTCACGTTTCACGAAACTGCTCCGCCCATGAACGTGAACACGTATCCACTCGTCGATTTTCGCGTGTCGAGATCTCCTTCCCAATCTGCATCTGTATAACCTTTTTTTTTTTTTTTTACTTTATTATAGAGATTTTTAGCCATAGGCTAGTTCATCTCTTAGTCATCTGTATAACCGACCAATTGGGAAACTTCCTCTCTGCAATACTGAAGCCGATGTCCTGCTGTGCCCTTTAGATACCTCATGATCTGTTTTACAGCAATCCAATGGCATTGTCCAGGATTACTGCAAAATTGGCTGTCTGATTGACAGCATAACTTATATCAGGCCTCGTCGCTTGCGCCAAGTACGTCAAACAGCCAACTGCCTCCTTGAACGGTACATTTTTCATCGCCTGAATTTCGTCTGGTGTGCCTGGTGACATCTTACTATGGAGCTTCAAGCTAGGTTCAGCTGGAGTCGAAACTGGACAACAGTTCGCCATGTTGAACCGTTGGAGAATGCTCTCCACATAATGCTGCTGGTCAAGCCAAAGCTTACCATTTCGCCTATCCCTGGATATTCTCAGTCCCAAGCAGAATTTCGCTTGACCAATATCCTTCATGTTAAAACGGGTATTCAAAAATTTCTTCAGCTTGATTTTGATCTGAGGGTCGTTGCTGAAGATGAGGAAGTCATCAACATAGATGGTCACAAAAAGCATCTTTCCTCCTTCTAACTTGAAATACAAGCAAGTATCGACATCCGAGCGTGTAAGTCCGAAATCTTTTAACGCCTCGTCGAGCTGGTTGTTCCCGACCCTGCTGGATTGCTTCAAGCCGTAGAGTGCTTTCCTCAACAAACACACCTTGCCGCTTTTGTTCACGGAGCCATCAGGTTGATCCATATATATGATTTCGTCCTTGAGCTTCCCCTGCAGGAATGCAGTAACTGCGTCCATCTGTTCCACATCCAGGTCGTGTTTCACAGATAATGCCAGCAAATATCGAATGGTGGCGTAACGGACCACCGTCGAATAAACCTCGTGTACTCAATTCCCGGTCGCTGAGAACATCCTTTGACCACCATACGTGCCTTGTATCGCTCAATTGCGCCATCCGGTCCACGATTCGTTTTAAACACCTACTTGTTGCGAATACACTTCCGATCGGCCGGTAAGTCAGCCAACGTCCACGTCTCGTTCTATTCAAGCGCTTGAATTTCCTCCTTCATGGCCGCAATCCAGTGCACACGTTCTGGACGCTTCATCGCCTCTTGGTAGCTCGTGGGATCATCAACAACAATATGCTCGTCCGCACACTGTGAGCAAATAACGGGGCCAGACAATGGACTAAAACATACAAAATCCAAATACTTGCCTGGGGTTTGGCGCTCCCGACCGCTGCGCCTTAACACACGCTGCTCATTATCAGCTGGTCTATCTTGTTGCGGTGGGAGCACTGATGCAGACGCATCTCTCCAGTCGGCGTTGGACGGACCTTTCAACGAATCAGTATGCTCAATCTCAGAAACCGTACAAGCGTTAGACGGACCTTCCATCAGATCATCAGGCTCAGTCAGTCCTTCCGTATCTTGCTCCTCTGGGATAGTATTCTCGACGTTTGGTTGCTCCGGTACATTGAAAACTTCATCAATCCAGGTGACAATTTCTATGAACTCCACTGATTTCTGCTTCTCGGTTGACATCACTGCTCGACCTTCGTTGATAATGATCACATCTCGACTGGTTACTACGTCATCGTCCTCCGAAAGATAAATCCGGTATCCTTTCGAATTCTCCGCGTACCCGACAAAAATGCCTTCCACGGATTTTGAATCAAACTTCTTTCTCTTCGATTTCAGCACATGGACCATCGCCTTGGAACCGAATATCTTCAGATGGTTTAGATTCGGCTTCCTTCTGGACCACGCTTCTTCTGGTGTCATCATCTGCAGCGCTTGTGATGGACTTCTGTTGACCAAATACGCGGCGGTTGAGATTGCTTCCGCCCAGAACTTCTTCAACAGTCATTGATCATATTCCGCGCCTTCTCCACGAGCGTACGGTTCATGCGCTCAGTGATACCATTCTGCTCCGGGGTATAGGGGCAGGACGTCTGATTAATAATGCCGTCTCGCTCCAATGTTTTCTTCATCATCATGTACTCCATACCGTTGTCAGAACGTAATATTTTTAACTTTCGTCCAGTTTGCCGTTCCGTCATGGCCTTGAACCTTTCGAAAACATCCTTTACTTGGCTCTTTGATTCCAGGAAGCAAACGAAAACCTTTCGACTCGCATTATCGACGAAGGTAACGAAGAAACGGTTCTCTCCAAACGAGGCTTCTTCGATTGGACCACACACATCGGAGTGTACAAGTGTCTAGCAGACCTTCTGCTCGGGATAAACTAGAATGAAAAGAGTCTCGAGGATGCTTACCCTTTGCGCATGCCACGCAGTCCACTTTCAGTTCATTCTTCAAATCCATGCCATCAACCATCGCGACAAGTTTCCGCAAACTGCCTTGATTCAAATGCCCAAGGCTCTTGTGCCAGATATTGGAGGATTCCGGTCTCTTCGTGTTCAGTCGGTATAGGCCTCCGGTCTCCATTCCAGAAGCCCTTTCTTACATATTCGGCTCACCGATAAAAGGTTGGTTGCCAAATCCGGAACTTGCAATACATCCTGAACTTCGATTAAACCTTATTGCAACTCCAGTTTCACCAGACCTTTCGATGTTGATTTCACGCTTTGGTTGTTTGCCGTTTCGATAGAGTGTACAAAAGTTTCCTGCTTCACAAAATTCTTCATCGTCCTCGTCATATGCGAAGTGGCTCCGGAGTCAAAGTACCAGTTTTCTTCTTCTCCAAGACCAACCGCCAGCGTAGCGCACAGAGCCTTCCCTCTTGAACTTTGTTTCTGGGGACACTTGGCCACGTAATGTCCAGGTTTGTTACCATTGAAGCACGTACCTTCCTTCTTATCTGCTCCACTCTTCGGACGCCGCGACTTCTGCTTCGAATAGAATGCTCCTTTTCCAGAACAGTCCAGCGGGTCCTCTGCGTTGTCGATCCTGCACCTTCGCTTGAACTGCCTCCGCCATGGTTCCGATCTTCCGGGATTGGGCTTCTTAACATGGTGGGAGCTCCGGAACTACTTTTCTTCAACTTGAACTTGTGCTATGTCCAGTGTTCTGGGCCCATAACCACTTGTAAATGCAGTGAAATAAAAGACGTCTGATCTTGAGGAATGCTTGGAAACGAATGAAAGTTTTATTTGACTAATTTTACTACGAACTCGAGGATTACTTCGATTGAGATCACAACAGTTCGAACGATTTTCTAGCTGTATGGCGATGATGGGTAGCTCTGAGTTGATGTCAAAATGGCGGAAGGCGATCTCACGTAGCACCCCGATGGTTACAAAGTGTTGGAAATTACTTCCCCGCTTGAGGATCCAGCTGTACTTTCCTTCTAGCGAACGGTTCATCTATTCAGCCGAAACTTTGTTAATCTCCTGCAAGGCGTTAAGTACGTTACGTGAAATTTAGGGAAAATCGACCTCCCGTCCACCTTTGGACACGTTTTTCCTATACCTAATGAATTCCCGAGCAAAGTCGGCTAAAATTATGAAAGCAAATCGATATTATAATTTACAGTTCCTATCATGATGAAACCCATTTTGATTTCAATTGTGCAGTCAAGAGTGTTTTAAATGAAAGCAACATAACTTCAAGTTCGGCTGTTAATGTCTTGTTGAAAATTTAATGTAAGTTCATCTTTCGTTGAACTAACGACTATTGTTTTTTTTATTGTTCAGTGGCGTTTCCTTAACCTCAATCTACCTGTGCACCACTTCTCAAAACATAAACAATTATCAAAATATTGCTTGCAATGGATAGACATCGAGTAAACTAGAAGATTAAGTGTATTTTTCAACCGATTCGAGTAGGAATATGGCATTAAATCTGGTTTTGAAAGTGAGGCTACGGGACGCCACTTAAACAATAGTTTAACACATTTTAGGTCATTCGTGACTTGTCCGGGGTTAGATTTGAACTAAAGTCTTTCAGCGTGAGAAGCATGGATGCTAACCATTTACACCAGGCCGTATTCAGTGAAGTAACAACTAAACAAAAATCCGAATGCCACAGTTTTTATCAATTATAAAATGTCAATTAAGAGTTATATCTAAGATGTTCCTATCCATTCAGGAGAGCTAAAATAGTCAAAACTGCCTTAAAATACCAGCATACTTTCTTTTTCTTTGCAGCAAAAAATACTCTCAATACTCTCATGTCAATTAAGAGTTATTTCTAAAATGCTCCTATCCATTAAGGAGAGCTAAAATAGTCCAAACTGCCTTATATCCGTTCGCATTACAGCATATATCATGTGATATACGCTGTCATTGCACACTCGTACATCTAGTTTTCACTGGAAATCCTATGTATGAGTGCTCTTTGCAAGACAGCCATATTACGTGATATAGGCTGTAATGTGAACGGGGTATTAAAATACCAACGAAAATTCTTTTCTTTTGCAGCAAAAAGTACTCTCATACACGGAACACCTAGCTGACGTGACACATCTGGACTCACAGAAACAATGCCTTCATCTATTGCTGGAAAAGATGAAATCACGGATTTGAACTGTCCGAAAGAAAGTCTGATTTACCTACGTACTGCGAGCATTACTAAACTAGCTTTATCTTCACTACGGATCAAGATATTATCAAAGTATATAGTACCCTATGATGATTTATTATTTAAGTCAACGCATTCCTTCAATATAATTCGATCACAATTATAGAATCGATACAAAATAAATACGTTTTACATTATTTTATCACACAAGCGTCAACACTCGTACATGTGTCTCACCTTCTCCAAATCCAGTGGGCTAGCCCCATCGGTTTGTCCCAGCTGGGCGCTCCGGTTCTGCCGGGAAACCATCGTTTCCGTTGTCCCTGGTCGGGCAAACGCATACGTCGGATAGTGCATCACACTGCCAAAGTCGTACGGCAATCCGAATGTTTCCATATAGTCCCACGACCCTTTGAAGAAATTTTGTTTGAAATCTAAAAAACATAGATCCATATTTATGCAACCATTAAAATCGAATCGCATCGCTCCATCTCCGACCTGGTTCAATGTTATCCCACAGAATCTCCACGTAGTCGTCCCTGTCGGGTCGGGTGTGTTCGTGAAACAGTCCCAGCACGTGCAACAGCTCATGCTGCACCGCCCCCGGTAGGCTTAGGCAGAAATCATCCAGCACCACCGCGAGCGGTTCGCGTTGCTTCGGACGATACCCAATCGAGGAGCCACAGCCAAGGTCCGACTTGCTAAACTCTATATGTTCCACCTGGTCGTTGGTCTTCGGAATGAAGTGAACGCAGGTCGCCTGATGGAGGACGTTCATCGCATCCAGAACGGTCGAACGGTACCGCTGATCGCAGCTGCTGTTGAACTGATACGGAACGATACCCTTGGGCCATTTGTATGCCGATAAGTGGAGCGCGTTGCGACTGTGATGATCGCTTTCGGGTTCCGTGAAATGGGTTTCGTAGTATTCGGCGGCGACGTGACACACTGCGACCGATATCGAAAGCACTACGGTGGCGGTAAATATCATTTTCCGTTGGAACTTTGGGTGACTGAGTGCACTGAGTCACGTGATGCTTGGCTAGGGTCTATTTGTAGGCCGTAGAATGCCGACGCCTGGTTGATATGCTAATTAAAAGGCCAATTATTTGATAGAAACATGCTGTTTTGTGCAATGCATAGTACAACAAAAGCTTCGGTGGTTGTATTCAATCTTTGAAGGTTCGTTATCATTGCAAAGTGTGTGATTTATTCAATTACAATTGGCATTTCCGTTTCGATGCATGATACCTACCGACGGACACAATTACGCGAAGGAATACTAATGTGCATTATATTGCAAATTAATTGTCCGAGGGCTCTAGTAGAATAGCTCACCACTGGCGCTAAATTGTCGTATCAACCCTTTTATGATCAACATATTATTTATATACATACATTTAATATGGAAATCAGTGATAAAGACCATTAAGAATTAGCAGCAGAATCGTAAAAAAGTTCACTGTTCAGGTTTTATTTATTCTCCCCACCAGTAATCATAACCCTCCTTTCCTTAGCATACCTTAATTATCCTCCGAAATTCCCATGGACGCCGTAAAGAGATACAGAGACAAACACATTTATGATTTAGATCACCCAAACACCTTCTAAAACGTTTCGATTTAGGCCTTATTTACGGAGATTTAAAAAGATATCGATCACCTAAGTACCCCTCAAATTGTGATTTACATTTACAGAAATAAACACATTTAAAGATTTCGAACACAGCCCTCCAACAAACCGATCGCCATATTATTCGATTCTGCCAGTGTTTTAACAGCTTAGGATCCAGGGCATCCAGCAGGCTCCTATCGAAACAACCTTTGTCTGGGTCCCTGGACACTGTGGGATCAGAGGGAATGATGAAGCCGACCACCTGGCGTCATCCGGAAGACAGTCCAACTTATACATCCGAATGGTCCCGGCCCAAGACATTCATCCGACCCAAGACAAGGGGTGGATCACAATCACGATATGGAACTGCGAGACTAACGAATGGATGCGATCTGGAAACTTGTTTATTCGGAAGGTAAAAGGATACCAGGAAATCCCGGTCGAGAACTGGCCATACCAAAGTCTCCCACAACATGGGAGGCGGAGGCAGATTTAGAAGGCAGTGCAATACATGTAATGTTCCACTTACAGTGGAGCACTTCTTATGGGAATGCCCCAGACAGGGCTGATTAACCAAATTTGATCTATGAATACCCGAGTAACGACAACGGACAATGATTCGGACTAATATCAGGGCTCAAAACTATCATAAAAAAAAAAAAAAATTTGTATGGAAAATACGTTTTGAACGAAAACGAGAACATGGGTGTATATCTCGGCAACGACTACTAACACGGAAACGGATGAACGAAGATGTCGAACCAAGCAAAGCACGTACAAGAACAAACAAATGGACGAACAGCAACTACAAAGGAACAGGACACGGAACTTGAACACATGACCACGATTATTCAAAACGACTTTGCTGAACTTTTTGGTTTTTAAGCATGAATTCTCAAGCATTTCGCTTCAAATGACACTTAATTGTTTTGTCGCAACAATAACAGAGGTAACTTAAATAAACCTCAATTATTGCGACACTGCACAGATGTATCAACCGGTGGAAACTAGAAATACTCAGAGGGAGAGATAGGCGGAGAAAACAAAATACAATTCGGCAGCAGGGATTTGTTCCTAAATTATCTTGCAACCCTTGCTAGAAGCTAGCATTTCAAATGACTTTTATTTTTGATTCGATTTACGAGCAAAATAATAATTGCAATATTTTGCACATTTCTTGGTGCCATTTATTAACCAACGAAGATCAATTAATCAATAGAGTTAGAATATTGTTTTTGGTTCCAAAAACTAGTTGAATATGAGAAGCACACAAAACATAAAGGTGATTGAATTTCTGTTCGATTGCAATACTCTCAAATTTATTGTAGTAAGAATAAGAAATCCTCGGAAAAAATCTAATTGGAATGTTCGATTGGCTCAGATTTTGACAGTTCATATGGCTCAACACATTCTCTCCGCCCATCTCCCCCTCTGAGTATTTCTAGCGGAAACTAACGATTTTGAAATGGCTCACTACCCAACAAACAATCGTCTATTGAAGAAACGACTTCTTGGCCATTTTATTCAACTGCATGCTTAATAGTACTTGTACTATTTTTAATAATAACTTCTGTTCAGGCTTTGTTCACACAAATCTGGAGAATTTATTCAACCACAACATTGAACTACTGGTGTTGTATAAGGTATGTCGAGAAGCTTTTATTCGACTTATATGAGTTGTAACAGAGTTTATACGATAAAATTTTTGATTATTCAGCGTTTATTAGACATCACTGCTTCCTTAAAACAGTGATGCTCTGTATACGCTTGATTCTCATGTGAAGTAACGTTTAATTAGACATTATTATACATTTATTAAACGATTATTCAACGTGGGAAAATTAATCCGAAAATAAGAGGACAGGGGGGACAGGGACAAGGGAAGGGTGTGTGTGTTTCTTAAGTGTATTGTATTTCAATATTGCTGACCTGGCTCGCACCACACAGATATTAGAAAATTTATTAAATACTTATACATGCCGTTGTATGGGAATCGAACCATGTACCTTCCGATCACCAGCCGCTTGCCTTGTCATCTGAGCTATCCTAGAATTCATCATATGGGTAACTCAACAATCAATAAAAACTTGCTCGAAAGTAAATACCTATCAGCACTCCCGATCGCAACTCTAGCTCGTTCAAGGCCCTGTGGAAATGATTAATTCATTCATCGTTGTTTTAAATGAGACCAATGTTGCCTCTTCACCTCTCCAAGTCGAAAGAAAGGATGTTCGGTTATATTTTAAACTAGATCAATGCATTCATTATCGTGAGTCATGTGATCGATGATTACTATTTAAATTAATTATGTTCTACACAAATAAAAAAAAGGGTTGAGCCTGGGATTGAACTCATGACCTTCTAATTGGAAAGCGGAAACGGTAACCACTACTCTACTGATTTCGCCTTGTTGTAAGACTGAATCAGTATTGTCGAATAATGAATCTAATACGTCGTTTATAAAGCATTTACAAATCATGTGATTACAACATGGAAGCATAGTGGTATAAGAGCTATTATGCTGACTGTATTCACCTTTATTCAGCAATATTGTAAAGTAATGCAATGAAATCTAATAAAGGAGCTGGAGAACATTTATTAGACGTCTAATAAAGCATGTTATTAAATCAATTGAAAACAGTCGAATTAAAGTGGCAATGTATGTACAAATTACACTTATTCAGTTTGTTATTAGATCGAACTTCTGGCGTTGAATTGGGAAGACATTTAACACTTTTACAGCTTTTAATAAGTAAATTAATCAGATCAGAGCAAACAGTCGAACAATGAGCTTTTTCAGCACATAATTCCACAACTCTTTTTATTCAGCATTGTACACTGTTATACAGCATTTATTCAATATATATGCTTATTTGTGACTTTGAATTGTTGGTTGGGTGGTATAAGAGCTATTTTGCTGAGTATATTCACCTTTATACAGCAATATTGTAAAGGAATGCAATGAAATCTAATAATGGAGCTGGAAAACATTTATAAGACGTTTAATAAAGCATTTTATTCAATCATTTGAAAACAGTCGAATAAAAGCGACAATGTATGTGCAAATTACACTTATTCAGTTTGTTATTAGATCAAACTTCTGGTTCTGAATAAGGAATACATTCAACGTTTATAAAGCTTTTAATAAGAAAATTATTCATATCAGAGCAAACGGCGGAATAAAAGCGCATCTATCGATCCCAATGAGCTTTTTTCAGCACATAATTCGATATCCTGTTTTATTCAGCATTGTACACTGTTATACAGCATTTATTCAATGTGTATGCTTATTTGTGACTTTGAATTGTTTGTTGGGTACTTGACCAGCCTATTGGTCCCAAGCAAATCGATTAACGTACCCCATTCTAGTCGAAATTCTAGTACTACACTATGTTTGTTTTGATTCGCTATGAATGTTTGACAGATAAAATGAGGGGTTAGTGGATTTTCCTATGTTTCTAGGGGTGAATCGATTAGCTTGGGACCGAAGATAGTACCAGCATAGAGGTAACTCTAAGACCACTGGATCCCGAAGAAAATCGTTATTATTTTTGGCTCACTCAGTACCAGAACAACGGTCCCAAGCAGTCCCAAGCTATTTCACTCACCCCTGCATGTTCTGCATGAATCCACACACCCCTGATGTTATCTTTCAAACTTTCATAGCGAATCAAAACAAACATAGTGTAGTAATAGAATTTCAACTAGAATAGGGTACGTTAATCGTTTGCTTGGGACTAATAGCACCCGTTGGAAACTAAAGATTTAAAATTGGCTCACTACTTGACTAGCCTCTTGGTCCCAAGCAAATCGATTAACGTACCCCATTCTAGTTGAAATTCTAGTACCACACTATGTTTATTTTGATTCGCTATGAAATTTTGACAGATAAAATGAGGGGTTCGTGGATTTTTCTATGTTTCGAGGGGTTCATCGATTTGCTTGGGACCGAAGATAGTACCAGAGCTGAGTCAAAAAGTTGAGCACGTTTCTTCAGGACCTTCTGGTCTTAGAGTTACCTCTATGCTAATAGGCTACTAAAGTGGTGAGCCAATTTAAAATCGTTAGTTTCGTATTGATTGTTGGTACCAGAGCTGAGCCAAAAAGTTGTGCAAGTTTCTTCGGGACCTTCTGGTCTTAGAGTTACCTCTATGGATGTATCATAGAGGTAACTCTAAGACCAAAAGGTCCCGAAGAAACGAGCTCAACTTTTTGGCTCAGCTCTGGTACTATCTTCGGTCCCAAGCTAATCGATTCAACCCTCGAAACATAGGAAAATCCACTAACCCCTCATTTTATCTGTCAAACTTCCATAGCGAATCAAAACAAACATAGCGTAGTACTGGAATTTATACTAGAATGGGCTACGTTAGTCGA